TTAACAACAACAACATGAGTCACTATGAGTCCTCAGAACCAGCAGACAGCAGTTAACAACAACAACAAATGCTGGTATGGCTTTGTTATCATAGCAGTGAGAACCCTATTTCCAAGTGTGATTCCTTCCACACTTATTTCAGGGGAACATAATTTAATCCAGAACATTGGCCAAAGTGAATCAGAGTTTCTCAGTCAGGCAGGTTACTTATAAATAGGAAATTTGTAAGTAAAAATTAAACACATCTTTTCATTCCTCTTCATCTTCTCTTATTGTTAAATAATCTTATTTCCCTCTCTGAGGCCAGGTGAGTAGTCTATGACTATTTCTTTTAACCGCTGACTTTGTATATTCATTGTATTATTACAATGTGTTTTAATGATGTTTGTTTTCTAAATCTCTACTGAACTCTGACCCTGTAGGACAAGACCTTACCCTAAGCATAGAGCAGCATCTCTAATGGAATGAAGGAAGTTTTGTTCTTTATTTCTTTTGTTAGTAGAGGCAGGCATATTTTCTTCAGAAATTGAAAATGCATACAGAAATCCATAATCATCGGAAAATAAAATAGACAGTCCCGCAACAGTGCATGAGAGTTCCAATCTCTTCACACCCTCGCCAGTGCTTGTTTCTGTCTGTCTTATTCAATGTCGCTGTTTTTCCTGGGGTGAGATGATACCTCATTGTTGTTTTGCTGTGGTGCTGTAGGATAAACACTGGAATGAATGCTAACCACAAGGTCAGCAGTAAGAACCCACCAGTAGTACAAACTCGTGAGCCCTATACGTAGTTCTTATGAGTTGGGACCCGCTTGAAAGTAGTTAACAGCAACAACAGTGGCTAATGAAGAGTCCTGATATGGTGCTTTACTGGACCACCGGACTGCTAACTTCAACATCAGCAGTTCAAACTCACTAGCTGCTCCTTGGAAACCCTATATAGGGTCACTATAATTGAAACCAACTCAGCGACACTCAATAACAAGAATGGCTAATAATCACGAGCATTTCTTCGTGCATTGGTTACCTGAATGTCTTCTTTGGTGACGTGTCTACTTGTATACTCTCCATTTCTTAATTGGATTGTTTGTCTTTTTGTCGTTGTTGAGTTGAAGTTTTCTATACATTTTTTCGATTAGTCTCTCATCAGATATGCCATTGCCAAATATTTTTTCCTAATCTGTAGGATTTCTTTTTGTTCTTTTGGAAAAGTCTTCGGATGTACAAACGTATTTAATTTTTAGAAGGTCCCAACTGACTATTTTATTTTCTAATTAATTCTAAAAGTTCAAAATTATATCTAACACCTGATTCGAAACCCTAAACTCACTGCCACCAAGTTGATTCTAACTCAGTGATGGCAGTGAGCTTAGGGTTTTGAGTCAGGTGTTATATATAATTTTGAACTTTTAGAATTAATTAGAAAATAAAATAGCAGTAGCTGGTTAACTGCAAGGTCAGCAGTTCAAACCCACTAGCTGCTCCACAGAAGAAAGATGGCACTTTGTGCCTCTGTAAAGATGGATAGCCTTGGAAACCCCGTATACAAGTCACTATGCGTTGGAAATGACTTGAAGGCACCTAGCAACAAGAAGTCCCTATCAGGGTCTCTGTGAGTTAGAATTGACTCAAACAAAGTGGGTTGGTTTTTTTTGTTTCAGTGTTTGTTAGGTATGAAGTGGACCACAAAGATAAAAGTACCTCGCCTATTGGGGTACTTCTTTGGAGATTGCTGTCTTAAAAGCTTGTCTTGCAGCCTCTAAAAGCTTGTCCTGCCATAGCTCCATGTGAATAACTAGGGGTTATACGTGTTGTATTTTTTCACACTGTTGGTAAGAGGATACCAATTGTTTTATTATTTATACATTATTTCTAATTATATCATTAGAAGTATGTTACTGGCATTAGTTTGGTTTGTGTGCGTTTAATATATGCTGGGAAATGCAGATTGAGTGTAATAGGGGAACTTTAGGAAGGAAAAAGGAGAACACAGGCTTCACAGTTAAAAACTTCTGTTTAGTCTTAGAATAGGGAAGAATAATCATGAATGGAAATACTGCAAGATCACTGAGTGAGTGGACCGGCAGTCAGCAGACAAGAAGATTAAATGAGGAACTTTGTTTTTATCTTAAAGTTTATTTTATTTTAAAATGGTTTCATTTAAACAAAATGAATAAATACAGAAAAGTAGAAAAGAAAAAAAATGACTGTAATCCATCTACTCAGAGACAGTCCCTGTGAACATTGGAATGTGAGGAAGTTTGTTTTTGTTGTGAGGTACAAACAAAATGAGAACCATTTGAGGTGGGGCGTGCTGACCTATGTTCTTTTGTATTTTAGTTTCTTGCTGCTGATCGTTGCTCTCCTAGCTTCTTACTCAGTCTACCTCCTGCTTAGTATGTGTATTCAGACAGGTGAGTAAAAAAAGTATGCTGTTTCATGTGGTGAAAAAGTCTCTAGAGACTGTATCTGCATACAGGTCTGAATGTCTGATGTCTAATTTCCAGGAGACACACATACTTTTTGGTGGTGGTGGTGTGCCGTGGAGTTGGTTCCAACTCACAGCGACTCTGCATAGGGTTTCTGAAGCTGTAAATCTTCGGGAGCAGAAAGCCTTATCTTTCTCCCATGGAACTGCTGGTAGTTTCAAACTGCTGACCTTGAGGTTAGCAGCCCAACTCATAACCACTATGCTACCAGAGCTCTTTATACTATTTGGTAGGGCCATTAAAATGGAAAATTTCAAAAGGTCAGGATATATAGATAGACCCAATCCTATGGGGGAACATCAAAGAACAGGATGGGAGAAGGAAACTACGGTTCTTGCCTGCCTTTCTCTGTAACGCACACCAAGTTTTTTGGGTTAGAGTAGATTAGGAGAAGCTCCCGGAAGGTGTTTGAAGCATCCAACCTGTACTCATTGGAAAGCAGTAGACAGGCATTCATTCTGGTCATGTTTCTCCTGGAGCTATCACTGCCTTTGTCTACCAGACAGAGGTATGGGTGGCAGAATTGGGATTGTAAGAGCTAAGGTTACAAAGCTTTAGATTTAGGTAAAGATTGCATTTTTACTCACAAATCTGGAATGAGGTCGTGTTTTCTAAATGACAGGAGTCTATGGAGGTTAATGGAGTCCTGGTGTGGCACTGTAGGATAAGTGCTGAACTGCCAGGTTGTGGTTTGAACCATAAGGTCAGCAGTTCAAACTTACCAGCCACTCCTTGGAAACCATATATAGAGTTGTTATGAGTCAGAACTGACTCCACAGCACTTAACAACAACAACAAAGACGTTTAATATGTATGTGTATATGTGTATTTTTTTTCCATTTGGCATTTTATTTTGTAATTGACTCATTTACTGAATATGATTTTTAAATCACAATAAATAAGTACAGGCATTTCTTGGGCTACTAATAAGATTGGTTCCTAACTATACATTTAAGTCTAATTTGTAGGTAAATTGGAACAGGCGCATATAATTCTTATTTAATCTTACTTTAATGCAAAGAAGGGGTTCTGGTGGCACAGAGGGTTAAGCATTGGGCTGCTAATTTAAGCCAAAAGGTTGGTGCTTTGAAACCACCAGCTCCTCCAAGGGAGACAGATGAGGCAGTCTTCTTCATAAAGATACGCAGCCATATGGAACAGTTCTCCTCTCCTCTGTAGGGTTGCTATGAGTTGAAATTGCCTTGACCGCATTAGAGTTGTTTTTATGTTTCCAGGGGTTGGTTCAGTTGTTTCAAAGTGAGAGCAAATTTACATAATATTAAAGGACAAGTTGTTTTTGTTAAGAGCTGTCAAGTTGGTTCTGATTCATAGTGACCCTGTATAGGGTTTCCAAGGAGTGGCTAGTGAGTTTGAACCACTGACCTTGAGGTTCAAATTGACCTTTCGGTCGAGTGCTTATCCTAAAGTGCCACTCTGGGGCTCCAGAGACAAGTTGTGTTAAGTGCCATCGAGTCAGTTCCGACTCATAGTGACCCTGTGTAGGGTTTCTGAGGAGCAGTTGGTGAGTTTGAACCGCCGACCTTGTGGTTCAAACTGACTTTGCAGTCCAGTGCATTAACCCACCGCGCCACACCAAGACTCCCCAGAGGACAGGTTGTAGTCCCTAAATTGGACTCTCCTAACCTGGAACTGCCTGTCTATGAATTATAGAACTCTTTTTATAAGATTTGTTTTCCATTTGGCATTAACAGATATTCTATGTTTACCAATCCTCGTCTGTTTTATCTGTCTCGTTTCTCCTAAGAAGGAACCCTGGTGGAACAGTTGTTAAAGCATGCTCAGCTACTAACCCAAAGGTCAGCCAGTGTTGGAACCCACCAGGTGCTTCATGGGAGAAAGATGTGGCCGTCTGCTTCCATAAAGATCGACAGCCTTGGAAACCCTAGGGGGCAGCTCTACTCACTCCTGTTGGTTCACTATAAATCCTAGTAATAGGTTTGGTTTGGGTTTAGTTTTAGTAGTGAGGTTGGCCCAGGATTGGGCAGTGTTTCGTTCTGCTGTGCATAAGGTCGCTATGGGTCGGTACCGACTCGATGGCACCTAACAACAACAACAACATTGTTGGACTGGCCAGTTATGAATCAAAGTAATAGATTTCAGCTCTTATATAAATGGGCCTCTTTGCTCCATCTTGGTTTGTGATTATTCAGACTTTAAGAAGCAGCGTAGGTACATAATATAGATAAAAGTAAGATTTTTTTTCTAGCTGAAGCAGGAGAGGTAAACCCAGAGATACCTCTTGAGAATTTTAGAATGCTTAAGAAGTTGTTGTTGTTAAGTGCCATGGAGTTGTTCAACTGATCTTTTGGTCTACTGTTTATCCTAAAGCGCCACACCACTGGCTATGGTTAATTTTTTCTAAAATACAGATGTTCATCAGAAACAGGTCTAGACTTTTTTTTTTAGAATCAGATTTCTAAGCCTCAGGAATTCTAATTCCAAAAATCTAAAGTGGATTCAGGAATATATTTTCAGCAAGTCTTCCACATGATGCTTATGTGAAACCAGATTAGGATCTCTATAGTTCATTCTTGGCTATAGCCTGTACAGACACCATCCAGTTTGCTAATACTGGCTCAGCTCAGTTCAGCCCTGGGCTGGGCTGGGCTGGCCTGGGCTCTGCGCTGCTGCCAGAGAGCTTGGGGGGAAATGCAGACAGATAAAAATGCTAGATAAACAGTACAGATATTAATGTATATTAAAGTGACAAGTTCATAAGAGCACACTAAATTCAAGAATAATAGCATTAGCGATTGCATTTGTAAATCCTGCGGAAACTAGACTGAAATTTTAAAGACATCTTTTGAGACTGTGCTGCTTTGTGTGAAATAGTTGTTGTTGTTGTTGTTAAGTGCCGTCGAGTCGGTTCCGACCCATAGCGACCCTGTGAAATAGTAGCTGTACTTAATTATATATTAGTTTACCAAGCATGTCAATGAGGTCTTTCATCATAGATTCTAATAAAAATTAGTATTTTAGTTAGCTATATGTCAGTTATATCTTTATTAACTTCATTAATCTAAATTGTTGGGGATAATATTTAATCTGTGGAGATCTCCAGGTAATGTTAAATTTTTTCCTCTCCAGTTCACCTACGTTTAATTGTAAGACTCTGACATGGTCTGATGTTCTTGTCTGTCTTTTACCTTGGGACATTACAAAGTGAAAACCACTATTTTCCTTTTTCTTTGATTTTCATAGCTTGCTTTGGTGCTTGAACTAACTTCTTCATGGCTCTTCATAGACGCTGGTGACCTGTCTCTCACTATAGAATTCTCTGTGGAGGTAGGCTTTTAATTCTTCTGTAACACGTACACCAAAAGAGACTAGCGTGAAGCTCATTTTCTCCTGTAATTTACTGGATTGACTTAAATGAATATTATGTTCCCACCAGAGTCATTGGTCAGCCGTAGGCCTGTCATTTATAAATCTTTACAAAATAAATTCTCCATTTATTTGCCTGAAGGTAAAAGGTAAAAAGAATGTTTCATCTTGTTAGATGTAAAGGATTTCTTCCATGAGGAGGATAATAATGCATATTTTATATGGCTCTTGTAAGGATTGAATAAAATAATTCAGGTTATCCAGGCCTGGCTTCAATTGTTTGAATTGTCCAGTATATTTTGTTGTTGTCGCTAAGTGCTGTTGAGTTGGTTCTGACCCATAGCAACCCTGTATAGGACTTTGTTTAATAGATAGTCCCTACCATTGTCACTGGAGTCCTGGTGTGGTGCTATGGATTAACGCACTGGACTGCAAAATTGGTTTGAACCATAAGGTTAGTGGTTCCACCTCACAAGTCATTCCTAGGAAACCCCATACAAGGCTGCTATGTGTCAGAACTGACTTAATGGCATTTAACAACAACACCATTATCATTGTTCTTTTTTACTTATAGCTTTAGGAAATGTATTTGACTATAAGATTCATAAAATAATTACTTGAACAAGATTTAAATGATTGTTTTTCTCTCATTGGCAAGAAATCTTTAGGTAGGCTGTCCAAAGCTGGTATGGGTGATCCACAGTGTCATTAAGGATACTTCAAAGACATCTACCTTTCTCCTCCACCATTCTTGTACCCCCCGGCCCATGCTAGATGACTTCCGAAGCTCCAGCCATCACATCCCATTGTAGATAGCAGGTGTTCAAGATCACCAATAAAAGACAAACCACCCATGCTGTATTAGTGTATGGGTAAATGCTTTATTCACATAGGACAGAGACAGAGCACAATCAGCTCTGTTGGGGTACTAGCCTCCCATGACCAGCGGGAATCCTGCCCCCTGCCCCAAGTAGGCCGTGCAAGACAGATGGTCTATGTTCACCCATCTTGTGCTGTAAACAGAGATTCCATGCCTTCCCTGCTGGAAAAGATGTAGACGTGGAATTGGCCAGGTGCCATGTGGTACCTATGTACCTGCAAGAAACAAGGTTACTGTGTGCCCAGAAAAGGAGACGATTTCCCTGGTGAAGAAACGGAACTGAAGGACAGAAGGTGACTCTATTCCCAGTCTCCTTATCAGAGAATGTTCTGGATCCAAGACCTTTACTGGGATGCCTCAGATGGGGAGACACAGAGGCAGACCTTCCCCCAACACCAGGAGAGTAAAAGGGATTCCTCCCACCTGAATCTCACTTACGACTACGACAAATGTTTTACCTTTAGTATTTAGTCAAAATGGTTCAAAGGGGCTTGGAAAACACAGTTTTTATTACAGGTGGTAATGGGATGGATCAGCACTGGACTTTGACCCCAAAGGTTCAAACCTATCAGCTGCTCCTCAGACATCCTATACAGGGTCACTATGAGTCAGAACCAACTCAGCGGCACTTAACAACAACAATAACAACATGCACTTTTTGTGAGCAATGGAGGGTGCCCTTTGCCAAAGAGTCAGAGAC